TGAGGGGATGTGGAACAGGGGGGGTTGGTTAGGCATGGGAGTCCTGGGGGGCCTGTGATGGGGCGGGGGTGTGGATAGGGGTTGGGGCAGTCAGGGGATAGGGAGCAGGGGAGGTTGGATGGGGGTGGGGTTCCAGGGGGTGGTTAGGGGTGGGGGGTCCAGGGAGGTGGCAGTCAAGGGACAAGGAGCGGGGGTGTGTGGATGGGTCAGGGGTTCTGACGGGGGCAGGTGCCAGGCTGTTTGGGGAGGCACAGCCTTCCCTACCCAGGAGTAGTATACTAAATTGCTCCCATAAGAATGTGCTACTTACGGTGTACTGCTTAGGGCTGCCAGTCCTGGTGCTCCGTAAGTAGCAAATTCCTACTGGGAGCAATTTAATACACTACACGCTACCTGGCAGGAGCTCGCAGCCCGCTGCCCAGAGCGCTGGCGACACGGCAAGCTGAGGCTGCAGGGGAGGGGCCCAGGGCTAACCTCCCCAGCCAGGAGCTCAGAGGCCAGGCAGGACAGTCCCACGGGCCGGATGTGGCCCATGGGCCATAGTTTGTCCACCTCTGTCTTATTTACTCCTTTGTCTAGTTTCAACTTCCAGATATTGGATTGTCTTACCTGTTTCTCTGCTGGATGAAGTGCCCACTATTGAATACTTGTTCACCATGTATGTTCTTATAGACTGTAATCAAATCATCCCTTAACCTTCTAGTTCTTAAGATAAATAGATTGAGCTCCTTGTGTCTATGAATAGAAGATATATTTTCTAATCCTTTTAACCATTCATGTGGTTCTCCTCTGACCCCTCTACAATTTATCAACATCCTTCTTGAACTCTGGACACCAGAACTGGACACAATATTCCAGCAGTGGTTGCACCAGTGCCGAATAAAGAGAGAAAATAACCTCTCCACTCCTACTCAAGATTCCCCTTTTTATGGATCAACAGAACCTTTTAGTCACAGAGCTGCACTGGGAGCTCATGTTCATATGATTATCCACCATGATGCCCAAATCTTTTTCAGAGTCACTTCTTCCCAGGATAGAGTCCCCATCCTGTAAGTATGGCATACATTCTTCGTTCCCAGATGTACACATTTAGCCATAGTAAAAATCAGTGGCTATTACCCAGGATGGGCAGGGATGGTGTCCCCAGCCTCTGTTTGCCAGAAACTGTGAATGGGTGACAGGGGATGGATCACTTGATGATTACCTGCTCTGTTCACTCTCTCTGGGCCACCTGGCATTGGACACTGTCGAAGACAGGATACTGGACTGGATGGACCTTTGATCTGACCCAGAATGGCCATTCTTATGTTCTTATTGCTTCAGCTCAGTTTACAAAGCAATCCAAATTGTTCTGAATCTGTGAGGTGACCTGTCCTCTTCGCTATTTACCACTCCCCCAGTTTGTCTCATCTGCAAATTTTATCAATGATAATTTTATGTATTTTTCCAGGTCATTGATAAAAATGTTAAATAGCATTGGGCCAAGAATCAATCCCTGCAGGACTCTACTAGAGACACACCCTTTTGTTAATAATTCCCTATTACAATTACATTTTGAGACCTATCAGAGTTAACCAGCTTTTAATACATTTAATGTGGGTCATGTTAATTTTATATCACTCTAGTTTTTTAAATCTAAATGTCATGTGGCACCAAGTCAAATGCCTTACAGAAGTCTAAGTATATTACATCTACAGTAGTACCTTTATTAACCATACTTGTTAATTTCACCGAAAAGATGTCGTTAGCTTGACAGGGTCTATTTCCCATAAATTCATGTTGAATGGCATTAATTATAATCATCATCATCATCATCCTATTACGCCTCTGGCATTTAGGGCAGTGACGAAGCTCCTCCACTCCTGTCTGTTTTTGGCAAGTCTTTCAATGGTTCCCCAGCTGTGCTACAGGTTTTTCAGTTCTTCGCCATGTTCTTTTTGGGTGGCCTCGTTTTTGCTTGCCTTCAGGTGTCCATCTTGTTGCCACTCTGGTGATGGAATCAGTTTCCATCCGAAGCACATGACCAATCCATCTCCAATGCCTCCTGGCAATGATGGTGCTCAAAACCTCTTGGCTGCACTGCTTCAACAGATCTTGGTTTGAGATTCTTGTGGGCCAAAAGATCCGGAGAATTTTTCTGAGGCAGGTTATATGGAATGAAGACAGTTTGGACATGTCATACTTTCTCATTCCCCAGCATTTTGCACTAAAAAGTAATGTTGAAAGTACTCAGCTCTGGTAAATGTTGAGTTTGGTTTTGGTTTTGTATGTTGATGATTTCCAGACTGTATTTAAGCTCCTGAAGGTGTTCCTGGCTTTATTGATTTTGTTCTGGATGTCCTGGCTTGTTCCACCATCCTGGCTGATGATGCTGCCCAAGTATGTGAATGTTTCTACATTGGTGAGAACATAAACCTTTATCCATACTGGTGATGGTGAGGCAATATTAAACGTCATGATATCTGTCTTATTGCGGTTGATTTTCAGTCCAATTTGCTAGCTGAATGTATTGAGTTGAGTTGCCTTTTCTTGTATATGGTGTTGGGTATGTGATAGGAGAGCGAGGTCATTTGCAAAATCCAGGTTTCAAGGGATGAGAAGGGTGTCCATTTAATGCCTCTTGGCAGGTTTTCTGTTATATGCTGCAT